GTGAGATAGGCGGATATGCGGGTGTGATATTTCCCCGCACGAATAGGGGAAGGGTGGCTAACGTTATCTTAACGCCTACACATCCAAAGCAGCTCATTCCACGCATTCCAATCGCAGCTGTTATTGTTACTTCCGATATTTCCTCTCGAATTTATTTTCCTCCCACTGTTTGTTTCTTCGTTCCTTGCGATCGGCCGTCTGCTTTCTCGTCTGCGTCTTTATATCCGTTTGTGTTCGACAATAATGGTAGCAGCAGACGATTCGTCCCATGATTTGCTGATTCGGTGACGTATCGTATAATTGGATGATTCATCTAACGTCCGATCTATCGAATTAGACTGATGGAACAAATTTAGCTTCATTACGCATTGTGAGTCCAAAAATAAAGTTCTTATTTTTTGCAGAATATATATACATGATAATTTACGATATGACGTACGAGTTGATTGTTAGATGAATTATCTCATTTTACCGAGGTCATCGAATAAAGACATCGTGGACGAATCGTTCTTGAATCATTCGACATGTAGGGTGCAAAGAGAAAGGTAGAGGAGAACACGTGGTTTCATATGGAGCTAATTTGGAAAAATACATAGGGCTACATGTTTTTTATTCACATGCTCATTGCATGCTTTTTAAAGATCCGTATTCCATTGTTAACGAATAATTACCTGCTTCTTTTAGTACTTTTAGTTACCTGCTTTACGGTGAAAAATTTAAATAATAGCGAAAAATCATATGAAATTATAAAATTATATAAACGTAAATTACAGTATTTTATATAAGCATGACATTAATTATTTCAATTAAAAACTTAGTCATATAAGATATGAAAAGAAAATTAATATATATATATGTATATATATAATTTAAGTGTAAAAATAATTATTATGTACGACTGATAGTTTCAGATAATTTAATTTGTACGTGTCAGATATCTTAATTGCAGACACCTTAATAATTTCCTTCCTTTCCAAGTCAAAAAATTAATTTCCTTTTGTTTCTTGAATGATACCCGAAGTACATTACTTCGAAGACTTCACCTGAATTACGGCAATTAATTACGTGCAACGAGATTGCAGCTATTAATTGCAGACCGCCTGTCGCGCTGAGATCGGCTTATGCCCGGAGAAATTTGTCGTGAAAAGAGAGGAAATTGGACCGAGTAGTTTCCCCTCGGCGTCGAATGTGCTCCCCTCTTTCTCGAGCTAATCGGAAAACGTCTTCTACACGCTCATGGCGTCTGTTAAATCCGGCGTCACCGGGAATTTGGAGTATTCTTAGTCGAGAACTTCGAGATAACATCTGCATTTCGGTCGCGCACATTTTATCCGAAAGCAGGTAATTAAGAGATTGAAACCAGCAATTAAAATTGCTGAAATTTCAATAAATTTAAATATCAACACTATAAATACAAATTTCAGTAATAAAATAATACATATCAATTGTCACCGTTATTGTGAAACAAATCATGTTTAGCATCAACTTTTCGAGCTTGCCCAGATTGTGTCGATTTCAATCCCAGCACAGAACACGAAGAACTTGTAGAAGGATTTCAAGGGATTGAGACAAATTGGGCTAAAATACATGGATCGTGGTTCGTGATAACATAATATAATGCTCGTGCTGCTAAGTTGTCACAATGAACAACGAGACAGGCTTTGGTGCTGGTGCAGCTGATCGCTTAAAAGTTTGCTCAAAGTAGTTTTTAGAGGAAAAGGAGAGAATGAGTGAAGATTGATATTGTGCGATATTTTTTTCAGTGACAGAATGAGAGAAAGAAAGAACGAGGAGGGAGTGAATGACTTCTCGTGCGATTGGTGGACAATGTTGACGTGCTTGCTCCGATCAATTCGTGCTCGAAAATTGCACTCGTACAAGTGCCACGGATCTGTCAATTTTTTTATTCTATCAAATCGTTCCCGACTTCGAGTGCCACTTAAGCTACATAGACTCCTTCTAAATTCTAGGTCTAACAGGCATGAACACGAAAGTGCAAGGAGACCGAGCGAGTTAATGAATGCGACGTTGTTCGTGAAAACCGTTAATCACTACTAATTTACCGCGATAGAATTAATTGTAACCTGTTGATACCTTTATCTTCTTTTGGTTTCATAAAAATCCCGTTTAAATAAAATGCTAATTTACGTATACACTTTATTAAATTTCGCTGAAATTTACGGAATTAAACTCATGATCTATATAAAATCAATATTTAGTACTCGAAAAATTTGTCGTTTAATCGAATAGAGTAACAGATAACTTTTGAACAATTTTCTTTAACGCAAATTTTTGATTAACATTCTGGGTGCTTTTGCAAAATGCAAACGCAGCAAAGCTGCAGAGGAACACAAGGAATATATGAATCTTGCAAAGAAATGACGCGGATGAAAAGCTACGTGTATGAGATGACCATCGTGACTAAATGGGAACGCGAACATGGCTCGTGGCAAAAGTGGGTCAAAAAGCGTGAAAGAAACAAGCTTGTTGGCGGCAACGGGCGAAATAATAGCGGCTTTTCCGAACGACTTCGCATTCCGTGTATCTAGAACTGGCTATAAACGAAGGGAGAACACTATAAACGCGACAATGTATTTCGGGAAATACACGGTCTAGGTCTGCTCTAAAGACCATCTAACACACGGACTGTGCAAAAGGCAGAGCGGACATGGTAACGGCAACGTGATCACGCAATATTCGGATGCTCAAAAACTCCTTTACGAGGCTAACAGTCTAAATATGCTCATTTCGCTATGTGACAGTACAGCGGAGCAGCGATAGTTGCTGAGTAAAAGTAAGCGATGGGGGGACGCTTCAAAAATTCACGGATTCCTGGACCATTTTTGGATATCAGATTTAATGCGAAGCTCTGACGATTCGTGATTTTATCGACGAAAAATCGATAAATATACATAGAGACGACATGTTTCACAAATTTCCATATGAAGCGAATCAGTAATTGTTTGAAATATTCAAATGCGACACGTATTTGGCAGGCAACTTTTAAATAAATAGATGTATGATACAATTTTTGTATAACTTTCGCCAAACCACGATTTTTCCGTAACCTGCGATAAAATGCTACAGCCACCTTTTGGCATTACCCAGCGACATAAATTCTTGACTCTGTCATTGCACGTTTTACTTCTGTCATATAAGTTTACGGCATGTCGGAATGCACGCGTGGCGCCATAGGATATCGAAAATTCCATAAAAATGAACTAAACGATAAAACAATACTCGCAATAAATGACAAGCGTCTCAGTAAATTCTTCCTGACACTTCCTCGACGCATTTCTCGGAGATTTCCACAATCTTTGTTCGCAACGAAAGTATGTAGCAACAGAATCGCGCTTGTAGCGTGAATTTTTGAAAACTTGCGGCGGTGACGCAAAGGAAAGTGCGCATACAAAATACTTGTGAGAGAGTAAACCCACGATTTTGCGTGCACACACTGAACGCGACATGAATACGAATATGTGCGGTGCTTGAAGACGTGTGCGTGTGTGTCTGTATACGTGTACATGTACATGTGTAAAGTCGTTGAGTGAATCCCGTCGATTTTCTACCTCTGATTTGATTTTCCTTTTCTAGGAGGAGAAACACTGTCAAACCGTAATAAATACAACATCGCGAGCTCTCGAAACGCAATGAAATATTTTGACTGCGAACAGCTTCGATTGCACAAGTTACACAAAAAGAGAGTTACGTTCCAGATAAACGTAACATACTCCGAAATAGAATTTCCTTTTCTATATATTGAACGCGTGTTTCTCTATTTTATACATGAATCTTCATTATTGTCAATGATTTCACAAAATTTCCTACAAAAAAGGACCACAACTACTAAGTTAAATTCTAATTCAAATTTCAGTTGTAACAAAGCAGACAATTTTTTTTATAACATGATAAACTATTACAACCTATACTAGAGATATTACATCACTTCGGAAGTTTCTGAATTATAGAAATCTTTGTAAAGTACGTGACTTCTCGCTTCTATCGTAATCATTAGATTCCCGGATGCTTTAATAATTTTTATATTTATTTTAATTTTTTGTGTACTTAAAACTCTCGCCTTCTTAGAATTTGTTGTAAAAGACTTCTTATAAACCTTTTATGAAAATTTTTGAGTTTTGCCATTCTGGAATTTTTATATCTTTCAATATTTGCACACATCCGCGAATCCCAAGATCCTTAGATCGTATTGTTATCGGATCCCCAAGTTGATCAGATCCTTTGCGTTGCCGCAGATTTATCGATCTGCGGATTTTCCGCGGCTCTTGCCCGAAGTGTCACGTTAGTAGCTTCGATCGGCTGTTGCCTATCGCCGTTCCCCGATCTCGCATGTGCATACCGTACCTTAGTCTCGCCTGTATTGCGGAACACAAAACGGGAAAACCTTTCCGTCGCTCGCGGGAATCCGATCGATTTTGAGAGCAACGATCGAGTTGCACGAGGCAGGCGGGGAAAGCTTGCAAAACCCTGTTGTGGTCCCTGAATCGAGAATGGACCGCCCGTGTAAGGGCTAATTCCACTCATCCCCTGGCGCTCGCCTGTTTCGTTTTCTTTTTTGTCCGTTTTGTTCCTCTCTTTTTTTTGTTTTCTCAGATCTCAGGTGACACAAAAGTTCAAGCGTGAGCACGGCACACGGGGCGAAAAGTAAAGCCACTGGCGGTGCAATAACTGCAAGCTACTTGCAAGCAACTACTCGATACAGAACAATGGGCAGCGATTAATGTTAACGCATATGTGTATGTACGTATACATGTAAAATAGACTAATAAAAGTAAGCAAATTATTAATGTCAATACGTATTTACACATATGTGTATTGAAAATGCGTAATGAGCGTCGATCGAAATGAGAATGATACACACACATATATATGTATATACATATATGTACGCGATGCATAATGTATGTATACATATATACATATATATATATAAATTTATAATTATGAGTATGTATGGCGACGGATAGAAATAGCTTAAGGACCTGCTTCTGGGCCATCGACTGCATCTGCTGGAACATGATCCTTTCCTCCTCTTTTCCTAGAACAGCAGAAAGTAACGAGGAACTCTTGGAGGAACTGTTTGGTTCCAGGTCTCGGATTGTCGGTGCAATTGTGGATGTGTTTGTATGCGTGTATATGTATGTTTGTATATACGAATAAATGAAGTTTGTAAAATAATCGCGACAGTTTGCTCGAGTGCAATCTTTATTAATATCTCTCTAACTCTGTATTACTATTATAATTATTTGTATTATAATTAATGTAACGCACATAACATTTTCATTGTAATTAATAAAGAATAATGTTAATTAAAAAGATTTATTTCCCCTCCCCTTACTTGTATTAATTAGAGGAAGGTCACCGATACCGACATACCACTTTGTTTTTAGACTTATTTTAATAATATTTCTTAAAATAAGTCTAAAAACAAAGTGGTATGTCGGTATCGGTGACCTTCCTCTAATTAATACAAGTAAGGGGAGGGAAAATAAATCTTTTTAATTAACATTATTCTTTATTAATTACAATGAAAATGTTATGTGCGTTACATTAATTATAATACAAATAATTATAATAGTAATAAAAGGTAAAAATACAACTTCAAAAACATAAATACAAACTAAAAAGTATCTTCTATCAGATAGAGTATAAGCAGTTTTTATAATACTGTTTGCAATTTTGCAATAATTAAGTTTTTCATAAGTTATGACGCAAAAATGAGCGTCTAACAAAATGGGCTCCAAAACTGACATAGTAGACAATAATGCCAACATTCCTATTCTATAAATAAAGATATATTCTATTCTATAAAGAAAACTAATTTATGAAACTATAAACATTTAAAATGACATAATATTATCAATAATACAGTCACTATTATTTTAATTACGCAATTTGCAAAAGAACATTGTAAGAATTTTCTTCTCGGATTGATAGAATTTGTTTTTAACTGATTTGAAGATAGAAATAAACTGATATATGATACAAATATATGAATTATGAGTTTGTACTTCTTTAATTAGTTAAACAGATCACGTATTTATTAGTATTAATAAGGTGCAAAGGTTAGTTTCTAAGAAATAAAGGGATGTCGCTTTAGAAGACCTATGTCAGTATCGGTGATACTTTCCTCTACTTATATTCAAATTTGTAAAAATAATTTAAAGAGCAAATTGTTGTTATTAATGCAGCGCATCTAATTATGTATGCCAAGTGCGTGAAAATGGTAATTTACTCTAATACGTGTCGCGAATTGAAACTTTGTTCATTTAAATGCTGTCTTCCTAACTTTCGAAAGTGTTCTTCCTTTCGTAAAGTTAACAAGATTTACAAAATTAATATTTTCTTGCAGCATCCTTTTGGACTATGCACCGTTAACTTCACAAGATGAGTCTTGCTTTTATAAAGATAAAGATCACAATAACGGTTTCAAAGTGCAGATTCTTCTGCTTAGATGAACTGCGGCTCGTGGATTTAACGAAATAATTCGATGAACCGTTGTAGTCGTCGAGGATGGCCGACGGCATTTGCGCGAAAAATGTCATTGCGGGGGAAATTGAGTCTTCCCTTCGTTAGAGAAGAACGATACTAGGCGTCGTATATTTGCGAACGAAATATTCGCAATTTTAAATTTTGATAACGCGCTATGTACTTTTGCTACATGAAGTCACTTACAAGCATGGTATATATTCGAGAAAATTACTTAACAATCATGCAAAAAAAAAGAACTTAAATAAGAGCTTGTATCGCCAGGAAACTATATTTCTGTTTGAAATAAATGTAGATTAAAAAAAATGAGCAATAGTTAAGCTTTAAACTTAAAATGTAAAAATATTTTTGTCTATGTATACACTTTGTTATTTATAGTTACTTTTTTATTAATCCAATCAGTTTTTAAAAAGTTTATGCACGCACATACTTTGTAGTTTTATTTCCCGGCAATGTTTTATTTCATTAAAATAAATATTTTTTTTCCTATTAATACTCAAAATGTTAATTTTTATACGAAGCTTATTACGATTTTCTAATTTGTAATTATACTCCTTGAGTTTAATTGAAGAAAATTTAAAAATATCAAAAAAATGGCTATTGTTGTTCATTGTAATTCATTAGGATATATTATTATGATTTCCTATAATGTAAATTTTTGTTCGTAAAATGCAGGGTTAAAATAATTATTTAATATTAAAATAATTAATTTAAAAAATTGCAAGAAATGTCTCACCCATCCCCTTATTCTGGAGCATCTCGAGGAGCTTCTTGATACTCTCATCACGAGCTTGCAGCGTCTGTTTTTGCGTTTCTATTCTTAATTCCAGCTCCTGCAAGAAGAAAGCAAGGATTCCAGAGAAAAATCAACAAGATTAATTAAAAATAAAGAAATTGCAATAACTAAGATTGTTTTCTTTAACGATTTATCGTCAAATTATTATTATTTTATTATTGTTTTATTATATAAACATTTACATTAATTTAATAATCCTTAAAAGGTCGCAATTCTTTTCTTGATATCTTTATTCTTAAAAAATCTCAATTCCATTTTAATATTTGCATAAACAATTTAGATGCAATTATATCGCACATAATAAAAATTTCTATATACTGAGTTACATCAAATGACAGTTTGAATATTTTCGATTTATTTTATCATATTACGTAGATGCTTTCAAAATATTATGAATTATATTTTTCTGTGTTATTTTAAATTCATAAAATACACATTGACAATATAAGCTAAGATAAAACTTAATCGGTTGAGAATAGTTAAAATAAAACTTCATTAGAGATAATAGGGCCACTCACACAGTTGAGCTCAAAATGCTACCGACTATATTAAGCCTACAAAATTATTTCAGCATCTGCGGACGGTTATACCACAAGAATCACAAGACTCAAAGAGAGCCAACATACCACGTAATGACATTAAAAAGATACTTTATACTAAATAAGACAAATAAATTTAAAAATAATTTAGAAATAGATTCTTTGATGAATGTTAGAATTATCCAATTTCTCTTTAAAAAGTGACTTTAAATATCAACTCCTTTGTGTAAAAACACGTGTTCCTTTTTCCAAAAATACACTAAGCTTAATCTTTGAAACCGAATAAAGAGAGATTTAATTTATCATCATGTAGGTGTACTGTGCTCCTTCATTCTATAAAACAAGATTAACATTTCAATAGAATAATGAGAATTTACTGTAAAATATTAATGCCGCAAAATATTTTTACGGAATTTCGCCACAGCGTGCACTTTTTACACAGTATTATTTTTATGACAACCGATGGTACATACACACACACACACACATACACACACGTTGGCAACTATATGTCTAATATGCTTGATTTTAGTAGCCGTCAACGATGGATGCCACCGCTTGGGCCCGCATAACGAATTTAGCACGCCTCTTTGACGGCGCGAAAGTAATTAGTCTGGAATTAGACACCCGCTGCTGGCCTTCTACCGGCTTTCCCCGCTGTGCGAGAGGAATACTCGCGTGCGATATTACCTGCGAGTAGATACTATGCCCTCTGGAAATACGAGAATTCCCAAATGTTACATTCGAGACGTCGGCCGACATTCGATAATTAATTCAATTATCTCTTTTAATGAAAACCTTCGCAAACTTCCACAGTTGTAAATGTGTTAATTAGAATACTCTTCAAAAAACACGTGTACTGTATTACCGGTAAGTTTGACCTCGAAACAGTTAGAGTGTAGCTATTGCTAACGAAGAGTTGGTAATTACAGTCAGTCTTAGAGGATGAAACTCTTGGGACATGTTGAGTCAAAATAACCAAGTGTTAAATATATTATCGATGAATTTCAGTGAAAGCTGTATATATAAATATCTTTCCTCGTATTGTGCAAATTATTAGATAACGTCATATCTCACACACATACATATACTAACGTTGTTAATTATTAATATATTAGATAATAAATCAGGATAAAAGTTGGCTAATAAATAACATATGACATTAAAAATCATATACTGAATCTTTCAAAGTTATGAAAGTTAATGAAATGAGAACGTTGTATTGCCATTAAGTATCTTAGTTGTTAAAAATTTCGATCGACTTGGTCATCAGATTCGATAATGAGAATTTATAGAGACACGAGAAACCGAGTGCATAAACTGGCGAATGGCCAAAGGCGACCAGTTGCTTCCCGTTTGACCTGTCTGCGACATTTCGGTCATGCTTACGAGCAAATATTACTCCGCTTCTTGCGCGAGATTAGATTATTTTCTGAAGAAATATCTCCGAGATAACTTTTCCTTCAACTTATTACGTACGCGAATTGCATCTATTATCAACTACTTATCTTGCAGTAAAAATAAAATATTTCTTTTATGTAAATAAAGCTTTCTAAAAAAGGTTCATATCTATCATACTGCTTTTAAACGAGTGGAACGTGACACTCCCATTGCGTGTCTGCTTATATCGATTCGACGTTACACGCAGTCTTACACACAGCAACGCTTGTTTTTCGACGCCATAAGTGGTGAACATAACGAATTTATTGCGACGAGGCTGATATTCACGTTGCTGCCAAGATTTCCGGAAGTTTCTGGATAGTACAGACAATCGGTCGTTTACCTCGAAGGCGACCTAAACCCCTCGTCTATTTCGAGTCTGCGAGCACAGAGCCGTATGGCGTACGAGAAGCCAATAAATCACGGCACCGAACGGATGATTTTGCAACGTGATTATTTTATTTATGATCGCCTGTTTTCACGAAAAACACAAACAAATTTTACATCAAAGTTATCTTCTCCAGATTCGATAAAATTTCTACAAAATGATAATGTATTATTAACAAAAGAAACTATTACGACATAAATTATTGAATAGAGAAGATTACAATTACCGATTACTCGTTATAAAAATTACTATTAAATTGTTTTACTTCAAAGCTAATAATATATATGTACTTATACTGAAATGTACAAGATCAATGGAAGCATTATCAATTAAATGAAATAAATAAAGTCATTAAAGTTTTCAGAATATTCAAGAGGAAAAAATTGGACAAGTCAGCATTTCTCTTGAATATCTACGTTCGGAATGTTGAGATACGTGACAGACGTCCGCAGCGGTGTCAGAAGATTGGAAGATAGCGCGAGGTCCAATATACCTGGCGCGAAAATTTTCACAAATATCAGGAAAACTCTCGAGGCTGTCGACGAGAAAGAAGAAAACAAGAAAAAGAAGAAAAAGACAGTCTAGGAGGTGTTTGCGGCTCTTTCATGCATCGACTCCCTGAAGAGTCTCCTCCATTTTACTTCCATTTACCGCACTTATCCCTATTATTCCCGAGTTATAATGGGATCCCCCTTCGGCGCGATTATTCCAATTCCAATCTTCCCGATGGCGTGCGCTATTCTATTTCGAGGCTGAGACTGAATTATATTCGGCGTAAAAAACCAACCTAGTCTCGCTCATTAAGACTAATCTTGTAAACTGCGCCGCTAGAAATTAATTTTCTCTCGGAAAAGTTCAACTATGTGGAAAACGCTGAATTATAGCACCGTCATTATACAGGAAATAACTTTGTACCATACAGTAAAAAAAGTTGTTAGAAGCGGTGCATTGGAAAATATGCATTTGAAAATAATCTATGACATCTAAACAACAATTCACCTTTATCGTATCACGAAGTATGGCAATTTCGCGAGTCAGATGCTCATTCTCATTGTACAAAACTTCCATTTGTTGCTGCATCTCGACACTCGGCCCACGCATCCTCATTCTGAGCTCCTCTTCTAATTGGCGAACCATTATGCTTTGTTTCTGCAATTCAAAATAGCACATATTATAATTTCAGTACATGCAATTATTTATAGTAATTTTCATTTTTTATTAACCTTCTCTCTGTATATAGGGCTGAAAACACACCTCAGGCTAATAAAAAACATAAATAAAATATTGCCGAATGGAAAATTTCGAAAGTTTTCTTAAAAACGGTTCTTAAAATATTTGTATACAGAGAAGGTTAATAAAAAATTATTAACAATAAGTACCTATAACGCTTTATCGAATTCTTTTATTCGAAATCCTTTATCTCTCGTATTTTTACAATTAGATCATTCAAAATTTTATTGAAATTAGAAGAATTAAAACAGGAATTGGGAATAATAACTTTTATGATAATTATAATTGCTATCGAGTTAAAAAATAATTAAATTTCGCATATCAAAATTAATATTTTTAGTTTGAAAGTCATCTAATTTATTAAAGACGGTTCATATATGGCTGTCCGGACATTCTAATTTCAGAACAGAGCTATGTAGAGCTATGAAGCGGTTTTTGGAACAAACAATCTTGACAATTACGAATTGCACTCAAAATATTAACAAGAAGCAAACGGTCTCCGTGAAAGTTCACTTGTGCACGCGTCGCTATGTCGACAGACGTGTCACACGACCGGAAACGCGCGTGGTTACTTGCCTCCGTCGTACCATTTGCTCTCATATGAATGTACTTTCGAGTGGTATTGTTCCACCCAAGCTCTTTGGTCTAGGCTCGTTAGACATCGTTAATGATGCCGGCAATGCGACATAAGCGCGTGGGTGAACAAAAGCCGCATCGTAAAAAAAGAAAAGCTTTCTAACTGTACTTCCGGCGCACTACGATTAACAAATACGGATGTTGCACACCGATGCACTGTCTGTTGATTAAAGCGCTTTACATATGCGACACATGTCCTCTCGTCACAGTGATTAAATGGTTGTTTTCATTTTACCCGGATTTAGAGACTTTGTTTTTGCAAATAATATATATTTTTCGTTGTGTGCTTTATGTAAAAAAAAAATGAAAAGTAGAAACTGGAGTATCTGAACTTTCTTATATTAGAAAACAGCTTTTTATATTTACAGCATCCTGTATTTCTTTTTAAGCTAAATAATAAAAAATAGAAAATAAGTGGCAAACAATAGTAAATTAAAAAATAAAAAATAAATGATAAAAAGCAGTAGCTTAAAAGGTAAGAAAAATTCAATCCGTGAATGAAAATACGTTAAAGTAGAAAAAATTAATTAATCTAGTTTTCCAATTTGCAAAACATAGTCTATTATCTTGTTCGTTTTATGGCAGTGATGTACGTTTTACATTTAAATGTATGAGCAACATTAAATTTAATCCCGACTAAAGATTGCGGCACATTACATAATCTGTCGCAATACAAATTTAAAATGATCCACAATTTAAAATAATCAAGAAACATAATTAATTCACAAAAAATGATTTTTTGATAAAAAGAAAGAAATTTTATAGTACAAGATATTTATAAGCATGCAAGAGTTTGCATCAAAATGTTCAATTGCATGAGAGGATTATGCAATGAGAATCTGCGTAACGTGTAACGAGAGAACCATACTAGTAAACGAATATTCTCCAATTCCTACGGAAACCAATGCGTTCAATACTACCGATTGACCTGATTTGGCGAGTGTGGAATCAGTGCTATGCGACATCCAGGGGGGGAGGGGAGGTGAGATGCGGAGGCAGAGGATCGCATTCTAGCATACGTGACGTCATTTTCTCGATTAATCATCCATGATTTCTGCGTGACCTATTCGTATCATGGTCGAATTTTACTATTTGGTTGCAAAAATCTTTGACTTATCGATTATACATCGAGAAGTCCATTATGTGTCTCATGCAGTTCATGTCAATGTATTTATTATACTAGTATATATTTTATTAATTTAATATTCATCTTTCAGTAAATATTTGCTATATTTATTTACTACAAATATATTTGTTTTTCAGTATTAAAAATTGATAATTACATTTCAAATTAAATGCGCTCATAAAATCAACAGTCATTAAGACTACTTAGTTATTTATATGTTCAAAATTTTACTTGTTAAAATCTTTTTTAATTTTCTACAACAAATACTCTGTAACTATAAATTCAATTAAATTCTCGTTAAAAAGCAATCGGATGCTTCAGTTTTTAATAAATGTTTTTGACATATCGATCACTTTTTATTAGAATTCGTAAGACATTTATGGCGTGATATATCGCGAATAAAACTCGATAAAATACGATGAAAGAATGGGCAATATTGTCAAGAGCTTGCACACGTCCGATGCATATACACATAAATATCGTATATAGTGAGTTAAGTGCTCGTAATAACATTAAGAACAAATGTTTTTTAAATGCTTAGCACATCGTTCGGCGTCAGATTCTCGTTAAAATACGTATAAAATTTACAGCAAGTGCTAAAAAGTTCTTATCAATTTTATTATTAAATCGATTAATAAAGAACCGAGTACTGTTCGCAGACATTCCATAATAAATTCAAGGACTGCATTTGAAATATTATTACTATTACTAGACGTGATAATTACTCAAATAATACTTAAATAATTACTTAAGCGAAGAATATTATAAATATTACGTAAACATTTCATTAAGACGCGACACGAGTGAATTATTAAAAATCGAAGAAGGGGAAAGAAATATAGGTGTTTGAAGTTAACAGAAGCCCCTCTTAAGACGAGATCCTATTAACGATTGAGCAAATCTTACATTCCTTGCAACGCAGTAGATACGCCTTTAACATGAAAACCGCTAGTCTACCTCGCAGTTGAGATAAATGATCCGCAATGTTTAATCAGGAAATCCGCAAATATTTGACAGAAGCAGTAACAATTCATGATGACCATTTGGATTTTCATCGTGTATACAAACATTGTTTATATTTAATTTAGTAATTTTTCGAACTACATCATTAGACTAATTGTATCTAAAATATAATTATATAAAAAATACGTTTGTAAGTCATTTTAATTAATAAAATCAATATAACAAAAATATTTAAAAAACTACAGAATCTTTTCCTATCTTTTACACGACACGTTACTTTGTAAATTTATAAATATATATATATGTATAATATGTATATATATCTGCATTTTGCTTATAATAATTATAATAATATTAGACAAATAATTTTTCTTTAAATTCTTGAGATAAAGTGAGTATTAGATAAAATATAGAGAATTTTCAAAGTTTCTTTGTTTTCTTTAATGTAATTGCGAGATTGCTTGTGTATCTTTTGTAAGCTATGTACCAGCTGTGTAAACGGTACGATCACCGCTGAGCTAAGCAATCAGAAAATAGCATTAGTAGATTTTATCAGGAACTGTAATCACAGCAGGCGTACAGTGTTCCGATGAACAGTGTTCCGCGACCAAAGAAATGCAATTTTCACGATCTGATTTTAAGCAGTGTATGTATGTAAGCACGGAGAATCGCCGATATCGAGTCTTTCCGGCATTCAGGGAGTAACTTCAGATACATATGGTTAGATTGCGATATCCATTTACTCACACTGTACGAACCGGAAATCCTAGAAATAAGCGAACACATATCGCCATTTCGTCGCAAAAGCAGCCAGATGTTGCATATATTCGCGAACGTAGTTTCATATTGCTATTTTTGAATTAGTTTTTGTTGTAATTCTGTTCCATTTTAAGTTTTATTTAAAAATTTTAAACATATTAATTTTTTAGTAAGACTAAAATGTAATTAAAAACTACTCATTTATATATTTTTTCCGTTGAAATATTCAATTCTTGTTAATTTTTATGAATTTCTCTACAAATAATATGGCAAGTTTAAAATTATCAATACCTACATTTATAGTTTTTGAGTAAAATAAATCGACAGGTTTATAAATATAATAAATAAATCTACTAAATCAGTTCTTAAAAAAAGCACATATAATATTTCATTTATTTTCAGCTCACCATGTTATTTATTAACAACGTTTTTTCAACGTGTGAATCCAATTAACCCACTTTTGATTCGTCATATTACAGTTCAGAATATGATATTGCTAAAAAAATCCTATGCTATTATATGTTCACATTGTATAACTTCGCAATTAAACGTTCATTATTGCAATGGAAATCACAACAATCGGAGCAATCGGAACAATAAAAATCTACGATCACAACTATCGGCGAGAAATCCGTGTGAGTGGGCGAGTTCAATAATGTAAACGATCCCATCGCATGAACTACATTACCATGGCAATTCTGTAGCACATTGGTCTTCGCTTTTCTTGGGGTCGTTGTACTCACAAATCGATCTCCAAGAAACGGGACAAGGGTGTCGGCGCTTGGTCAGTTCCCTTGGACGAATAACGGGTACCCGATCGCATATCCTTCATCCTTCAGAATATCTCCTGAAGATACTCGTGTCTACGACTAGTTTTAGCAAAACGACAGAGCACACACGCGCACAAAGTCTACACATTAAATTGTACTTGTACGCGAAAAAATAGACGCGAGAAATGGTCGTGGGTGACTCGACCGTATCGATTTCGTTTGACACGATGGAAACCCGAAGGATAGCTATCCTGGGAGAGGACGTGTTAAATCCGGAGATAGCTACAGTTGCCAAGTGTAGAGAAAGACGATCGTTCAATTTCTGACGGCGGCGCACTCGACGGAATGGCTCGACATTTAAAATGTTTGCATTTCATGGAGAGAGCGCTCTCGATATTTTTTTCTTTTGAGGAAAATGGTATCTTTCCAATATATATAATATTAAAGAAATTCAAATAAAAATATTACTTAGAAGAAACGACATTATAGAAATATTCTTATTGTATAATTTATATACAAATTTTGTTTAGATGTAACAAAAAATTTAATATAAAAATTAAATACTTAAATTACAACACTTGTAATATCAGCTTTTAAAAAAAGCGTCGTATTTCGTACATATATTGCTAGAATTATAATAGACAAAATAGACTTCAAATTTAAAC